GGGAATTATTCGTTATCCTCTGAGACTGCAGATTGCATCACAAATGCTTTTGAACTAAGTCAGTGCAAAACTCATTAGAACATCTCAATGAATTCGTCTACCTCAAACAAGTGGGGTGTGTGTAAAAAAATTGCTAAGATCATCACATTTTGGTAGATGAATGTCAATACTTTAAACAAATTGGCAGTATTAGTATGCTTGATTTCAGTGTGCTCACTAATAGAAATTAGCAGTCTTCGTTTATACATCGTTTAACTCCGTTTGTAGATATCCTATCCCTTTGCTTTCTTTCTCTATCCAGTTAAAATATAAGCGAGTTTTTTCTCCACTGAATGAATACAACCTCTTGCTTAGTGCTTATGTGTGCTCATGTTTCTGGTTGTTTCTTTTTGACAAATTATCAGACAAACACTGTCTGGCATATTTCACCACATTTCATATAGGATGGTTGTCCCTATTGCATAACCACATTCATAGTTTAGCTAACTTTAAAATGCTTTTTTCCAGCAAACAACATTTAAAAAATTGTACCACTACAGTTGGTCAGTCGGAAAACTGGTTACCAGACTCTTAGAATACTGTTAACCTGTGTGTTACTCACTAATGGTTTATTAACGGTTTATCATAGTGGTTTGGATTCAGATTGTTTTTAAAGAGGCTAAACAGTCACTTGACAATTAGTTATGAATAAAAAACATCGTAAACGATAGCAGTTACTAACTGTTCAACTCATCCAGCCTTACGATTCTTATGAAACTTCACTTACAAAGAGAAGAGGAAAGAAAACGTGAGTCAGAAAATAATGCAATTCTAAAGCATCGTGTAGCAATATTTATGCTATGCATGGATAATAAGATTTGATTTTTTCACAAAAATGACTCCAAACAGTTTATATATATATATATATATATATACAACAAGTAACAGAAGTATTGCTTTCAGTACAGTAGTGACGGATCAAAATTGAATAATGTTTATGATACACAAAGAAACGAAAAGCCAATAATTGATACTAATATAAAGATTACGGTGGCAAACACGTTGCATTCAAGTGGAAGCGTGGATGTTTTCACATTTAAAAAAATGCCTGATAGAGTAGAAGGAAGAAAGACAGTGACAGGACACCATAAAACTTTATGACTGTATCAAAATAAAAACACTAACACAATAAGTAGCACTCAGGTATACAGTGAAAACGTACTGCTCGTTCACTTATATTTTAGATTTTCAAAGAACTGCTTGTTTCAAATGTTTGGTATCAGTGTGAATGAGCAATATATGACGAGTATTGTTTCCATTTTAAGACAGCAATCTTTTTATTCCTTCACGTTCCCCAGTGGAACATAGGGCTTCAAGCTAAAGGCTTGAAGTTTCTGTAGCAGTGTTTATTTTACAGTATGGGGTTGCTAGCCTCATGCCCATCCTTTCCTCTTCACCAGCATTATTTCTACCTTAGCGAGGTAAAGGAGTGCGTTGGCCGGGGATCGAACCCCGGGCCCAGCAATCTTTAAACTTATATAATTAAATGAGGAAATCTGGAGTTCTAGTGTTTGTATTCCATTCAAATAATAGATGATAGTGATGGTAAATAGACAAGAGAAGTGAAGAATATCATTTAGTCACTTTATCCACTTTCTCTTAATATGTGTACAGGTAACCGTATTAGTTAGAGCATAATTCAAGTAATCTTTTTCCTCCTAATCATGCACGTGTACTGTAGGGATAAAAAGCTTCCGTTTAAATGGAATTTACCAAAATTTCTAGGAAAATTTCATAATAAAAGCAAAATAAATAGAAAATATTAAATTGAAATCAGTAATTACTTGGCGCCTATTATAATCATCCAAATTGTTGTGTGTGTAATTTACAACTTAGACTGTCTCATTATCAAACATCTGTTGCTTCTAATTTAGCCTTTACCTGTTATACAGGCACACTCTGGAATCAAGTGAACCAATAAATGCGAAGCAAAATAAAGGGCTAAAGTGCAACAGATACATACTTTTGCAGATGTATTACTAACTATTGTCCCAATGTTATTGAATCACTGAAAAACTACCTAGGCATGATAATTATGCTTAAAACAAACTTGTTGTTAGCACACGAGTTTATGCAACATCATGATGTTACGGAGTTCATTACATTAGGTCGGAGATAAAAACTTACAGATTTCTCAACTACTAACCACACTTCTGAATCGTGAAGTGAAATGATTAAGTGAAATAAAGAGACAGCACGTTTGACAATTAAATTATTTGTATATATCTGACATTTTGTTGTGTTCACTTAAATTAGATTCACTGAAATGCATACTCTAATAAATATTTGATAGTGTGGAAAATTCCCATATTATGAATTAAAAGTCAATCTGAACGAAGAATATTCTTTTCAATAATTTCTCTTCAGGTTCTCACAATTATAATATTATATATAATATTTGTTGTCGTTACAATAAAGGCCAGTTATGCGGCTGATACATTTTTAACGTAGAATAACAGATTAGTTATCGAGTGTCAAAATAAATAGTCGTATTTGTGTGACAAACGTGCTAGGTTGAATTCGATTACAAAATATTGTAAAACGGGAGACAATGGTGGTGATTAATCATAATAGATTTGTAGAGTGTGGGGTGGGAAAATTGACAATAAGTCAGTTCAATGTTATAAAAGGTGTCAGGTGAGTGAGTGGCTAGTACAAAGTGGTCTGAGTTAAACAGGAGATAGTAAGACTGCAATGAGAGGTTCATAATGAAATAATGAATATGTGAAATGAAACAGGTGGAGGCATATATTGAGAAAAGAGATAATATCACTAATAATAAGTCCGGAGAGTATAAACGAAAAATTCGATAGTATTGAGAGAATGTTTGCATGAAGGTTATAAATTATGACGAATAATAATAATGTTTGTAATAATAAGCAAAGGAGAAAAAAGCCAAGAGGCTTAAGGGGAAGGAGCACTCTTGGTCAGAAGAAGAATCATCAGTCCAAGTTTGGCCACGGTAGGAACAGCGTCTGGACGTGTTCTTTTTGGATACAAGGTTCCGGTTTAGTCGATCTTATTGCAACAGCTTCAGCTATGTGTAGAAAACATAAGCAAACTGTACGTGATAACGACTTGGGAATTCGGTATATAACCCTGAAAGCTGTGTTGACATCGATATGATGTCCAGTATCGACCAAGTGTGACAGGAGCGAGCTTTTTATGCACTTAATTTCCCCCTCTGCTGAACCGAGCTGGTAAATGTTCTGGAACCCGTAGAGGAACCTACCTAATCGTGCGCCATATATAACTTGAACCACAGGAACAGTTGAAATGGTATATGCATGAAGAAGAGCTTAGGTTAGGTAAGACATCTTTGAGTTACTGGGTGAACATTGGACGACTACTGAAGGATAGACACAGACGTGCAGAGTTGAAAGTTTTCTTGATTGCCCTGGTTAAACGTTGCGATGGAATCTCCGCAGAAGTATCTCTCTTGAATTGGAGACGTAAAAACAGAGGCTTTTTCTCCACCGTTACCAGTTCATGTTTACGACTATTGTAACCTATGTTGGCTTTAATGAACTTCTCTGGATATCCGTTCTCGCTTAGAATGTTTCGGACGACCTGGAGTTCTTTCTCTACACAGTCTTCGAAACAAATAGACCTCGCTCTAAATGATAAGCGTCTGATCCGATTACGTTTGTATTTCATCGGTACAAATTTATACTATCCGGACTTATTATTAGTGATATTATCTCTTTTCTCAATATATGCCTCCACCTGTTTCATTTCACATATTCATTATTTCATTATCAACCTCTCATTGCAGTCTTACTATCTCCTGTTTAACTCAGACCACTTTGTACTAGCCACTCACCTGACACTTTTTATAACACTGAACTGACTTGTCAATTTTCCTACCCCACACTCTACAAATCTATTATGATTAATCACCACCATTGTCTCCCGTTTTACAATATTTTGTAATCGAATTCAACCTAGCACGTTTGTCACACAAATACGACTATTTATTTTGACACCCGATAACTAATCTGTTATTCTACGTTAAAAATGTATCTGCCGCATAACTGGCCTTTATTGTAACGACAACAAGTATTATATATAATATTATAATTGTGAGAACCTGAAGAGAAATTATTGAAAAGAATATTCTTCGTTCAGATTGACTGTCTAATAAATATTGTAGGTACAGTTTTCCCACCTTCATCTGCTATTTGATCATCAACTCTAATAATTTTCCTTTATCTAAATTGGAATATTTTACAACCTTAGTCTTTTAAATGAATAACTTCGAATGAATCTATCTAAACCTTAGACTTTCCATTCTTGAAATAAATTGATTTTCCAGTATTGGTTCGGTAGGGATTTTCTTTAAGTGCATGGAGGATTTGATCATGAGCTGACATCAGGTAGAGAACCACTGGAAAACCTGGGAGAACTGAACAGCGGTTTCGTCCCAGTTTGAGACTCTTCATCAGTACGCGACAACCGGGATTCGAACCCAGGAACATTGGACCATGTCCCAGTGGCTCGAAGCTCTACGAGCTCGCTTTGTAACCAGAAGGTCCTCGGTTCGAATCCCGGTGGGGCGTACAGCTGAAGAGTCCCAAACTAGGGGGAAACATCTGTCCACTACTCCCAGGTTTTCCAGTGGTTCTCTCACTGATGTCAGCTCATGATGAAATCACCCATGCAATTAGATTGATTTGTAAATTTGTTCAGTCTGACAAAGTAGACAAAAAACAGATCATGGAGAGTAGAATTTGTTCGCCAAATTCAATGTCTAGTTAGACGTGCTTTTGTTTCTATATTTTCATAGAACTTTATGCTATCGGTTTGTAAATGCAGATTAATATTTTTATGGCAGTTTCGGAAACTATGTATTCTGTCATAGATATTAAGTACTATCTGTAGATGATCTTATCTAATTAATCAACTTTGGTTTGACAATGTAACTGAAAGATGAAGCAACATCTATCGAACAACGTGACTTCATGGTAATTCAACATAGTTTTTTTATTTAAAAGAGAATGAAACAAATTAGGTAGAATCCCTTAATATGTGGTACAGTTTTACCATATAAAGAAGGGACATCTGCGACCAACCCTACGTAGGATTCTCTATAAAGCAGGAGTTAGGATGGCATTGAAGCCTACAAGCTCTGTAGGCTCAAGGACTTGGTGGACCCAATTAAACAAAATAATACAATTTACAAAATGCCTTGCAATGACTGCTGGTTAAGTCAATTACATAGGTCGAACTAGTAGATCGAGGGTAGTCAGATTATTAGAACACAAGAATTTAGCTAAGGTTAGAATGATTGATCTCACAAATATAAGTAATTTAGAAAAAAAACTCAGCTTTAGAACTGCATGCATTGACACACAACCACACAATAGGGTGGGAGAGAGTCAAAATTGATCTCACAAATATAAGTAATTTAGAAAAAAAACTCAGCTATAGTACTGCATGCATTAACACACAACCACACAATAGGGTGGGAGAGAGTCAAAATTGATCTCACAAATATAAGTAATTTAGAAAAAAACTCAGCTATAGTACTGCATGCATTAACACACAACCAAACAATAGGGTGGGAGAGAGTCAAAATTGATCTCACAAATATAAGTAATTTAGAAAAAAAAACTCACCTATAGCAGTGCATGCATTAACACACAACCAAACAATAGGGTGGGAGAGAGTCAAAATTGATCTCACAAATATAAGTAATTTAGAAAAAAACTCAGCTATAGTACTGCATGCATTAACACACAACCAAACAATAGGGTGGGAGAGAGTCAACATTCTAAGAAGTAATCAAGGTGGGTGGAGAGAGAGAGAAATTGATAACTCAAACCTTGTTCAAGGAGTCTACACCTAACACGTGCAAATAAGGTGACTCAACACACATACCAGAGATATGGAAGATATTTTTACTGTAAAAAAAACACATCTTACTTCCCATTTTATTGTATTTTATTGATAACACTAATATTATTTCTGAATGTACTTTATCTGATACTTATTTATTGTTATTCAAATGTCTAATCATCAATTTTACGCAGGTATATTAATGAAGCGAAAAGTTGTGTGAGTGACTTGATATGATTATGAGCAATAATTTGTGCTCGAAACGTAGTCATCAGGAAATAATGCTGTACAGCACTGTATGATTTATCAAAATAAAACATTATCTATAATGAAAGTGCAAATTCCCTGAACTCTTCGCATACAAAATGTCAACTAAATCTACCAGTAACAGCCACAGTGTCAAGTACAAATATTCAGGCGGGTCCATTCTCTCCACTAATTTAGGTGATTGCCATCTATTACCAACATCTGATCAAAAATGTGCACATGTTTTGAATCTTTACTTGTCAGTTATATAGGAATTATATGGACAACAAAGTTTTTTTTAATTTTATTTTTTTATTTTGGTTACAGCTTGATGCCACACCGTATTTTCAGTACAAGTATGGCATTTTCAGCATGGATATCGGTAGCCCAAATTTTGCAGGCCGACCATAGATATCGGGTGTGTGCCGGCAGGGGCTCGAACCTCGGACCATGTGCATGGTCGGCGAGAGTCCTAACCACTGTGCCACCGACGCACAGTTCACCGAAGAGTCTCTTTACATTAGGATTGTCAAACAAAAATAAAACGAAAATCAGTTAGGGTTACTATTTACGTCCTCAGAATGTTTCCAAAATGTGATGAATAATCAAAATAGTAATTAGAGAGGGGGGGTTGAGGATTAATAAATAATGACAAGGGTTGCGCAATATGAAATAGCATGAAATGGAGACGCATATCCAGAAAATAAATTGTGTAACAGGTAGCAAGAGTAAATAAAGGGTTGGTTAAGAAGAAGGCGTTACTAAGATGCCATACAGAAATTCAGAAAACAAAAGAGGAAACAAAACATCATTAACGAAGTCGTAGAACTTGGGATTATACCTAAGGTAGAAGGAGGGGTTGAATAAGTTTCTTCTGTATGAATAAATCAGGGTTTTATATCCAGATCACTAAGGCCTCGACAGTGCAAGGTATAAAGGAGCCTACTGTTTTCGGGAGACTTCTTTTGTCTTTGAATGAATTCTGCGTGCATATTGAGTGACCAATGTTGAATATCTGTTCAACTATAGCACTCTTTATTGATCCACTGTTACGTTTTCGTAACCAGCAGGATAATGTTCTTCGACTCTTTTGGATGAAACACGCATCAAACGACCTATATATCTCGCTTCAAATGAGCAAGTAAACTGGTAGATACACAAAGAAGTGGTCAAAATGCGAGTTGTTGAACAATGGGCGGCTTGAGAATATCAATCGTAATTTGGCAGCAGTGGAATATGCTATGAAATGGTCATAATCAAGCAGAGAGTATTTCGCCTTATTGTTTGAGACCCCGATTGATTTCACTTCTTATTTCTGAAACACAATTGTTGTCGAACCAATTCTTAGGCGTCTCTTTATCTATTGCCTAATTATGTATACTGTTTAATCTTCGCCTCTAGCGGCGGTGAAACTTCGTAAGGTTGGATAGAGATCTTTTCCTACACAATCGATATTCACACTGTGCATTCATTACTTTACTTGAAATCTAGAAAAATATTTGTATGTATCGCACATATTGGTATTAAAATGTAGATATTTAGCTACTTTCGAATCAAACGATCAGTAGAAAAAAAAGGGCGCTGGTATAGTGTTCTCAAACTAACGGAGATAAAATTAAAAATTCAAAGGGCTCATTGACAGGACTCTTATACGTTACAAAGAAGAAAGCAGAATTAAAAAGATATTTTATAGTCGTGCTAAGAATAACACCAATATATGAAGCGGTAGATGAAGATTCGTTAGAAAAGGATGAGTGTGTATCATGGTTATCACAGTCTAGAAAATAGCTTCTTAACATTATTCTGTTCTTGCTTTAACAGTCAATACGAATGAATTTGTCAACATTACTATTACATAAATGGATTTTATGGCCAGATCTTATACTTTTGTATTGCAGACATTGAAAGCATCTGTTAGCCACAGCATAAATTATACAGAAATATCAACATGAACTTCCCCTCTGCAATCAATTTGTTTTATTCACCTCTCCTATCGTCTGCGTCAAAGTTAACTAGATCGTCTTCCTACCAGTTGTGTCACAACTATCTGTGAAATATTCCCTTCATCATCCGAAAGGCTCAGTCATAATACTTTTTGTTCTAACCTATTTTCGGTGAATGTGCACACTACAATTCAATTTCGTCTAAAAGTGATGATATTGAGTGAATTTCAATTAATTTCATTGTTCAGAATCCCAGAACTGCACAGTACGCAACTACGAAACAGTCCTTTTCAAAATCAACCTTGGCATAGTGGATTTATTGCACATTAACAATTTCCTTTTGCAGTTTATCAATTAGTCCTTGTTATGAATTGTAACAATTTTATTCCTAATTATTTTGTTTAATTTTAGGTAGAGACATTACACGAACTACTTGACGGTCCAAGTGAATTTGTTGCGGCTGGCCTAGAGCGTTTTCGTCCAATTCAAGAAATAAAACAACCGGCTAGATACCTGAGTCGTAGTGTAAGTCGTACGAAAAATCAAACTAGATCACCAAGTAGCTCAGCTCTACCCCCAATAAAGCAGACTTATGAACAGTCAGATAAAGTATGTGATTCAAATGGTGGATACACTGGTAAGATTTATTTGAAGTTTTTTGTGGTTATGAGACATTCTTTTGTATATATATATATATATATATATATATGCATATATATATACATATATGTATTTATACACATATACATATATACATTTATATACATATAAAAAAAAAAGATATAGGACTGATAAGTAAACAAACTACATTGAATTAGTCATGCAGAAAGACAGGTGCGAATGTTTTTTCAGGTGATGTTCAATTAGATAAGGGGAGAGAGAGTATGGGAGATCAAAATTAAGATAAATTGCATTATGCTTCAATTACATCGCTTAGATAAACAATTAGACATTAGAGAATTTAACAAGAATTGCAACCAGAGGGATGTCAATAGTAATAGTTATTAATAACAATAATAATAATAGTGTTGAAGTGAGTTAAGATAATGCTACTGATAATGGATAGTTTTAAATGAATCAAGAATAATAATAATGAGAATAATGAGAATAATAATAATAATAAAATAACAATAATAACAAGAGGTAGAATTATAAGTAAAACGTATTACCATGGTAGATTCAGAGTCACGACCATCTCCTTTTGTACACAGAGACCTGGTTTGTAAACTCGAATTGCACAAGCCTCTGCAATTGCAAGCATCTTCTTGTTTCTTTGTCTGCTGACAATAGTGAATGACTTGACCGCGTCAATATCATGTCCGTAATCCACAAGATGCTTTGTTATTGAGGTTTTTGGCACTTTGCACTCAGCTGTTTTCAACCATTTTGGCAAATGCTCCACCATGCGAGTAGACAATCGCCTTTCCGTATGACCTATGTATTTGCTTCCGTGCATGTAGAGTATTCAGTCCTATATCTCCCAATGTAATTTCAAAAGTATATATATCCGTGTATGTAGAGTATTCAGCTGACGAGTTCTACCGAAATTTGATGAATTCATTAAATCCTGCTTTATTAACCTTTATTGCTTGTTTTAAATTCTTATCGGGAAATAAATGTTTCCAGTTATTTACTTGACAACTATAAGAAGAGATGAAGCTGAATAAATTATCTAAAACTAAATATGAACTGCTTAACTTGTCAGGGTGCATAATGAGTCTTGGATTCAAATGCATCCAAGAGTTTAATACATTCTTTTAGCAACCTTAAACTGAGTTTTTAATTCATCAGTGGAAAGTTCTTTCCTTCCTACGGAATATTTAGTTAGGCTCATTACACTACTTTAACTTTCATGAAAGTAATATAATCATTATCATATTATTTATTATTCCCTTGGGTTCCGGTTGAAGGGCTTCAACAACACACCTTCACTCTCTTCTATTTTCTGATGTCCTCTTCAGCTGGGTCAACGACTGACTATAAGCCTTTAACCTCCTTCTCACAGGACCTCCTCCGTGTCACCCTCGGACTACCCACTCAACACTTCTAAATGGGGTACCACTCAAGGTCCTGCCGCGCGATGTCATTTGATGGCCTCCTCAACGTATACCCGATCCATCTCCATTTTCTCCTACATATCTGTTGAGCGATCAGTTCTAGGCTGACTTGTTTCCAGAGTTTCCTGTTGCAAATTCTTTCTGGCAGGTTGGCCATTTGATCTTCAAGAGGGAGCCAGTGAAGGCAGCTGTTGACAAAAGTCTGCGACTTGATGGAAATCCTCTTCGTGACACGTATAGAATGACTGACCTACTTCACATTTGTGTTTAAAATCTGAATCTTCCTCTTTGTTCTGACTGAGTCCAAAAGATTCGCAAACAGGTTTCACGTTGATGAAGTTGTACTCTGCCTTTCCGATTTTGGCTGGCTTTGAACTCCTCATCTGTTCCATCTGTGGTTGAATCTGTGCTTCCTAGATAAGTGAAGCAAGTAACCTCTGTCAAATCTCTCCCTTTGGTGGTGATTTGTGCTAGCTGTTGTCTCTGTTGTTGTTGGTTTGTTGTCCTCATCATCTCCGTTTTCTTTACGTTTACCTGGAGTCCTGTCTTCGCTGCATGCCTCTTGTTGGTTTTTGCCTGCCTGCAGCTCTTCAAGTTTGTGTGACATTAGACATATATCATCTGCTAAATCCAGATCTTCTAGAGTCTTCTCATCGGTCGTCTAGCGTATTCCTGACTCCTTGCTCTCAACAGTCTGATGCATAATCCAGTCGAGTACCACAATTAAGAATATCATCGGTGATAATAGACAGCCAGCTTGTCTTACTCCTATATGCACTTCGAAAGCCTCACTGAGTTTCTCGTTGTGGATCACCTGACTGACACGAGTCATTGTCATATAGTTAGCTTCTGAATGAGGATGAAAAAGACTTGGGCAGTGCACGGCGTAATGTTGAAGCAGTTTCCAAATTACTTCTCCGTCAACGCCGTCTGATGAGGGCCTTTTCGAAGTCGATGAAGTTAAGATACAGGTTTGACTGCCGTTCTGTGCTTTGTTCGATGATGATGATGATGATGATGATGCGTAGCGTTGCAGTTTGATCAGCATATGATTTGCCTTTCCTGATAACAGTTAGCTTGTTCCGGTGGGTGGTGGAGTTCCGCATCCAGTGCATCTTTTATTCTTTCAAGGTTGATACGACTTAGTATTTTACTTGGCGGAGACAAGGGCATTATTTCACACCAGTATTCGCAATGGCTTAAGTCGCTCTTCTTTAGTAGCTTGGCAAGGTTACCTTTCTTCCAGTCAGTAGGCACCATTCCTTTCTTCCAAACCGTCTGCAGTAATGGCGTGTGGATATCTGCTGAAGTCTCTGGGTCCGTTTTCAGTGTTTCGGAGGGTATTATGTTTGGCCCCGCTGCCTTCCTGATTGGGGTTCAGTAGCCTGATCGCATTTAGGATTTGTGTCTACTGGCAGGCAGTTCTTTGCGTGCTGTTGGTGTTGGTGTATTTCTGGGTGAGTTGCAGGTGATGGTTGATTCAAGAGTTCTTTGAAGTTATGAGCCCGTTGTTTTATTTGTTTCTCTTCCTTGGTAATTAAGTTCCCTTGACCATCTTTCACAGGTAGCTTATCAAACTTGGAATGCAAACTTGTAATGGAAGGTTAGCATCTGTTGTCTACACCTTGTTACGTATTATTAATTCTCCAACAGTTTTCAGTTTGTTCACTTTATAATTATTTTAAATATGCTGGTGAACAAAGTTCAGTATGCTCAACGAAAGACAGCACAGAATAGGAAATCATAGTAATAAATTTTGTGAAGTATTTACTGCAGCGAATATCGTATATTTGATGCTCAGTAGTTCTAAAGAAAGAAAATGAGGTGATTATTGAGTTTATTTATTTGTTACTTTTTTTGATGAATTTATGAAAAGACAAAATTCTTGCCTTTGGTCATTTATCAAGAAATCAACCAAAATAGAATCTCTAGAATGCACTAGAACGCAATACATATACTCTACAGCTAATTTTAAACAGTTTCATTTTATTTTGATTTTGTGAACTTTGTTGTTGGTGAAAAAATCCTGTGAAATAAAAGTGATGAATAAGATAGAAATTTATAATTGGAGTGCACAATATTTGCAATAGTGGCTTCCAGAATACTAGAGATAGTTAAATAATTATGCCGTTTTTTATGTGATATTTAAACACTTTCTCAAATTTAAGAGAAAAGTATCAGCTTGACTTGCGAGAACCTGTTGATATGTTTCGTAGGTTCACCACAAATGTTGTTGAACTTTGTTAGTAAACCACCTTCTTGTTATACTTTTGCAGGCGGTCATAATTTATTTTAATTGAATTTTTTAGATTTCTCCGTCGATTGATTGGACCAAAGTGCTCGGTCTCAAGTTGACATGTCTGCTTCTTGTGCAGATTCTTCGACGATGTCTGGGCATTTAATTAGAATTTAATTGGTAGATGGTGACTAGCAGTGGAATTCAGGATGCGCATCTCCTCCTATTTGGGACTCGTCATCTGGATGTACATGAGACCGAGCACTTCGGTCCAATCAATCGACGGGAAAATGTAAAATTGAATTAAATAATTAATAATATGACCCGTTGCACAAGAGACAGTGGCTGTCGTGGCCCGAGTGGTCTAGTGGATAGATAACGCTTTGGCGTTTGAAACTATGAGCACTGGGTTCGAGCCTCGGTGGGAACATCATCACTCACTGCGGAATGCAGGCACACCCAGATGACGAGTCCCAAATAGAACGAAATGCGCATCCTGGATTCCACTACTAGTCATTATCCACCAGTCAAAGTCAGATTTATTTCCTCTTTTTCGTCAGTATTTTTATAGTCAATAATCCATTCACATGATTTAGACTAATGAACAAATTTCAGTTTATTCGTCATACAATCTGTATATACCTCTACGTGTATGTGTCTATTTTTCCATGTATACCAGCGTTTACCTAGAGGAAGGTAATGGTTATTTAGACTAAACAATATGAAAAACCTCCGATTTACACCATTAACGCTTGTATAAATAATTAGAGGAAATATTTTTCTCAGATTATAATGCATGATACTTAGATGGTGTATAATTATTCCTAATAACTCCTGAGATTTGTTTTTTTTATTTAGATGAATAAATAATAACTTTTTGGCGAATCTTTTAATTAATGAATTGTAGTTGCCATGTGTTTTTGTTTTCACTTTGTTTGTGACAATGTGATATACAGTGTGTGTTTACAAGTAATAGTTTTTAAAAATTTGTTTTGACCATTATGCCCATATATTTCGCTGTCCACTTTTTCGTCAACACTGTGCATCTACTGTTGTTCTACGTCTTAATTACATATTTTCTTTTATGGGATTAGTAGTATTTTCCTGTACAACTTCTTTCCTCTTCCAGTCATTGCATGCATGTACACATAATTATTTGATATTTCTTTAAGTTGCATTGCCCATTTGTCGTGATGCTGAAGTACTACTCTATGGTTGAAGATTTGTCTTCTTCAAAAACTCAAGAATAAAGGTGAAAGAAAAATTGAATTCATGCATCATTCCTCTTGTGGTGCCCGCATGATTAGTTGGAGAGATATGTGGAAAATTCAAAGGCTTATTTTGTAAAAATAAGCTTCTTACTGTGATGGATCAGTGTATAGTTCAAAATGGTGAGATTATGCTAGTCAAATTTACCAATGAACTGACAGATGTATTCATCGGAAGTTTTGATGGTTTGATTCGGTTGTTTCAGCCTATTATTTACTTTGATGAACTTGCTTTGATTCCATCGTGCTAATCTGAGCCATAATTCAGACTTATTAAGAAAACTATTCGGCTATCAAGTCTAAAAGCACAAAAACCCAATATTTGACAGTAAAGACCACAATATTGACAAACCTAGAGACCCAGGTGTTTTTTATTTTGCTTTTTCGGAATTTTTCAAAAGTTTTCATAAAGTCTTTTTACATGTTAGAATTACTTTTGACAATTATAAGTTTAATTTTTTCAATAGACTCACTGCTTCGTTTGTTCAAATAATGTTTTACTGAGGCTTATTCTACATCTTGCCAGTTAACATTTTTTCCAGCCGTAAGTTATCACAACTCCTGTTTCGCGAGACGATTTGCATGCAGTTTTACATCTGACACTGAAATTTATCATTTTTAATTGTTTACAACAAGCTGCTGCTTTTGAGCCTTTGACTAAAAATGAGGAGAGGATAAGCGGTTGTTTTGCTATTCACATCTAGCAGTTTAGCTAATGCACTTAAAAATGTGAACTGAAAACTCAGACTGCAGGAATAAGGTCGTTTTAGTTGTAAAAAAGTCAGCTTACGTACTTCATGCTGATGGATATTTTATCCTGAAGAATAATTAAGTAAATAAAAGATAAACTTGACAGCTAAAGTATGCGGTACTGCTGTGAAATGACTATTTCCGGAAAAACTTTCAAAATCCTTCAGGTCTCCGTAACAATATACACTGAACAATTGAAGGCTGTGTGCAACTGGTTGGTTCGTAACATTGTAAGATGTAGCGATAAGAAATGCGTTGTCAGTATCTTTGGCAAAGCACATAAAATCAGTAAGTCAACAAAACATAAGGGTGGTAAGACATATTTGGAAGAATGAGGACGATTAACTCTCATTTTGGAGGTTCTGTTAGTATGAAAACAAATCACTTCACTTTGAAATACTGGACTTTAAAATGTCTTGAATGTCATTCCCTGGAATTCCGACTTTCTAATCATATAATATATAATACTCTGAGTCTGATTACTGATTGTTTCGAGAGTGAAACACGACTGTAAATACTTATGCCTTAATGAGATAAAGCTGATTGACACTTTTATCAAGTCTGATAAATTAACATATTTCAAAAAAGTGACAAACTACAATGAAATTTGGCATGAATTAAATAAATAAGCAAAACCAAAATAAAAAGCACCAACTTACCTGTATAGTGGGATGATATCATTTCAAGTATTGGTTGGTAGGGATATGGTTGACTGATTATAGGATTTCATCATGAGCTGACATTGGTCAGAGAACCATTGGAAAACCAGCAACTGGGAGTACTGGACAGCTGTTCCGTCCTAGTTTGGGACTCTTCATCAGTACGAACCCACCACCAGGGTTCGAACTCAGGACCTCCTGGTTACAAGGCGAGCTCGTAGACCATTAAGCCACTGGGACCCGATCCAATGGCCCATGAATTCTAACTTCTGCCAATTCACGATATAGCGCAACCGCTAGCCAATGTCTTCGGCGAGTATTTGTCCTCACACCCGACCTGCTGCACCCTACTGGTCACGACTTCTCATTGGAGCCTCAGGCAACTACCTACCTGAATAGGGCCAGTCGCCAGTGAGCATCTTATTGATATTCAAGTATTGGTCAGCTCATGATGAAATCCTGTAACCGATATCATTTCACTTTCAGTCATTATCTAGTGAGGTTTGACTGTGTAAATATTCATTCTGTTTATTCAACCGTCACTATATCCAGTTAAGCTTTTAATTCATAAAAAAAGGAAACTGTCTCATAAACAATTCATTGCTGATTAGACCGTTTCATCACTACATGAAATTATGACGAATTTTGTTTTTTAACAGTGATTCATTTTCACACACAAGTTTATTTATTTTCCAACCATATTTTCTTATATTTCTGCATCATAGAAATTACAGTTTTAACTTTGCTTATTCAGTCTGTCAGGTGTTCATTAAATCTGGTCAACATGATCCACAAACAGGCGAACAGTATTCATCTATTTGTACAGCAAACCCAACAATTACAATTTGTAATAAATACCAATCTACTCAACCTATATTACTCAGATCCGCTTATATTTGTACAATAAATCAAAACAATAATGGAAATACACAACTTGATCAAGGTAACGAGTCAAGTGGATCTGATGTCATAAGTAGTACACTGACTGGACCATTTTGTCCAGGAAGTGTTGATTATTTTGAAGTGAGTTCTCTCTGCTTACTGGATGTTAATATTTTGATGCAGTCGGTAAAATTTAGTCTGATATTCTGCATAAGCCTTTTGTTTTTATGGCTTATAAGTTGGGCTTAAGAAAAGCGTACTGGAGACATTTATGTCTGCCAAATACTGAAGTATGTTGAAATAGACAGAAGATCCATACAGCTCAGCTATTTGTAATAAATGGTAAAAAATTCCTACAGGACGGAGTTTCTTGGAGTTCTAGTGATTATTCGTGACCAGTGAGGCCCATTTAGTCAAGTGTGAGGATGGATGTCCCACCGATAACATTGTTTGGCGATCACGCTAAATCACGAATTGGTAGAAGTTAGAATTCATGGGGTCCCAGCAGCTGAATGGTATACGAGCTTGCCTTGTAACTGGAAGGTCCTGCGTTAGAACCCTGGTAGTGGTTGCGTACTGCCGATGATTTCCGAACTACGATAAAACAGCTGTCCAGTACTCCAGTGCTGGTTTTCAATGGTTCCCTAACTGATATCAGTCCGTGATCAACTCGTAAAAACAAATCTAATCCTAACAAATCAACTGTAGAAAAAACTCCTCGTCACTTATTAATTTTCATTTAGACATCAAGAACAAGAAATTCGTCGAAGATAATGTATTTGAACAAATTCACTAACAAACAGTATTTTCAAGTACATACATCTGAATTTCAAACATCAAATATAGGTGGGGCCAGTGTTTCTAATTCAGTCAATCAAATGTTCTTGGCTATAAACACTAGTTAACCTTTGGAAACCCCAAGATTTACGTCCTGTCACTTAATAGACCAGCTTCTTTGTCTGGTAACCTTAATGTGTGTTTCTACCGCTTTACCTATTCATCTGGAGCTAGGTAGCATTGTGGATATTCACGATAACGGGCTGCAGTATGGTTGTAAAATAGTGTTTCAGGAAGGCTGTTCGGTGATCTATTTTAAAACATTCGATCAGTTTTCAGTGCACAACTGATTCATAAAATAATTCAAAAGCTTTTCTACTAATACAGACCACATCACCGACATTTTCCCTATTTCCAACTATATAAAATAGCGAAGTTAATAACTATTCAAATTATATGCGTTCCACTTTCAGTTACTCAGTTCAAGGAGAAAAAGTGTTTCAAAAAACAGACAAAATGTGCATTTGCGAAAACTGCATAGTGATTGATTTTTCTACTCAGAAAAGAAATCTTATATTCTCAAGGATGTGTTTGAAACAGCTTGCATAACTTATTTGACCTATCATTTTGGAGATATTTAAAAAGTCTGTCCAGTCTTAAATCATCATCAGAGGTGCTTTGCTTCAGTTTTATTTGATTCAAGAATAAATCCTTACACCAGGTAACATGATAATCGAAGGATTCTGCTATTTATTTGTAAACTTTGAAAGATCAATTAAAGCTGCTTATTTCATGGAGGTATTCGAATTAAAAAAAAAAGCATTCTGGGTTTAAGTGCTTAAATTGTCTGCAGGTATACTTTGTCGGGAAATTCATAATCTGGGTGTATTCAGCAGAACATACCTGAATGGCCAGTGAAAATGGTAAGATAAGTCTTTTATCCGAGTTGACATTAGACCAATGTGGATTATAGAACGCTAATAACAGCTACAACTGCTCTCTGTAATAACAGGTGATATTGAAACTGCATCCTTAAATCCCCACATAACTATCGAAATGAAAACTTTCAGGACGAGCGGATGCCCGGCGCTCTTCACCGGGTTGACTGTCCATTGGATGACAGTCTAGGGGAGGTGGCTAAACCTTGATTCCAAACCTCCAACGGCTGGCGTATGAAGCTCTCTGGAGCTCACCGGCAGATGTATGGACAAAGGGCTTGTTGGATGTCCTGGATGTCTGGCCCCATTCGAAAAGGCGTATGAACCGAACTCCGGTCACCGGCAGCCAATGGATAGTGGACTCCCTACTCCACTCCTAATGCCTTGTAGGTCACACTTGGTTGTGTAAAGGCTAGAGCTGCACTCTCAAACAAAAGGCCGAGCGATTCTGGGGACATCACTCGTACCAAATTCCCGTGAAACTTCATGAACTCTCTTACAAACGTTCGAGATGTTCATGAAGCCGGCTCATCCTCCCGTAGGAGATAGCCGAAGTAAAGTAAAGTATCTTTACATGATGAGTGACTTGTAAGACAAACTCTAATTGTCGTCACAGTGTTTCACTGTTTCACTGATCATTCTTAGTAGTTCTATGTATTTTTGTGAAGAAGTTTAACAACTCACTAACAAAAGGCTGTTGTATAACAACATTAAAAACATGCTGTACATTTTTTAAAGCTCATACAAGGCGAATATTTACATTGCGGAGTGTGACAGGTATTCATTTGAATATTTGTGCACATGTTAAAGGGGAAAGCGTTTTTGTACAGTTTAACAAAACTGAATGATTTTAAATTGTCAAATAGGACAGAGTAGAATTATGCGTAACTCTTCTATGCATTTTACAGTTAGTTAGAGACTAATAATTTCTTATGGCATTTCCCTTTTTAGATACCCCTAAATGATTTTGGTGAAATCAGTAAAATACGCTTGAGTCATGATGGTTACGGTAATTACCCTGAATGGTTACCTGAAGAGATATGCCTAAGATTATCACCGGGTAATGCTAATCAGTCAGTCGACTCATTAAAGATGTACTCTCAAAATAATCCCCCTTCAAATAAATTTCAAAACTCAGAAGAAGAAACTAGTTTTTCATCTCCAACCGCAACATCATGTGAAATGACATTTCCATGTATGAGATGGTTGTCAAGATATAAAGCAGACGGTAGTCTAGTGCGTGAAATCGCTGCGCCTGGAACACAAATACGTGATCAAGGACGCTTATTTGGCAGAATCATGAAAGCATATCCCTTAGACATTGCAACATTATTTCAACAAGAAGAAAGATCTCCTGGTAAGTTAAGCGCTGAAAAAGTTGTCCTTACTGTTCGTTGATTTGTTCAACTGAAGTTTTTAAATTGAAAACCTTATGCTTGAGTGCTGGTTTGTGCGGATTTGACTTATGTGGTAGTCATCTTTCTGCCCATATAACTTGGTGGATGCCTCTTGCTCACAACTTCTCACTACAACTCCAGAGAATCCGTTGAGTGGTATGGTACCTGTGGATGGTGATGATGCTGTACATCACAAACTGGCAGAAGCTTGAATCCTCAGACCACCGGATTCCTTCATCTGACTGATAATAGAGTCACCTGATCATCTGAACTGAATGTCCTTGTCTTGGTCTCTGGTGAATCCATGGGTACGTGCTACCGAACAGTCCCCTACTGGGACGAAACTGCTGTCCAGTTTTCCTTAGTCTTCAACAGTACTCTATTTGATATCAGCCCGTAACGATATCTAACTCCAAAATGCATTTCTTGAGTCTCGATTATCAGGATGATCCCAGAGCTAATCATCTGTCTACCAGTATTTTTCTACCCTTCACTGTCAAAATACGACAGGTCAAATACTCCATTGAGTCATCGGTGTAGTGACTAAAAGTAGTTAGTTACAGCATTAAAGTGACTAACAGGTGAGCTGAATAGAAATAGGGTGACTGTCTTGATAATTCTATGCAAAAATCCACAAATAAATTCTTCAAATGTGACCAATGAAACAAGTAGTCCACAATTTTCACTGCCACATAAATGTCTGAATGTATTCAATATTTGAATATCAATGAGATGCTCACTAGCGACTTGCCCTATTCAGGTAGGGAGTTACCTGGGGTTCCAGTGAGAAATCGTGACCAGTAGGGTGCAGCAGGTCGGGTGTGAGGACAAATACTCGCCGAAGACATTGGCTAGGGGTCGCTGTATGTCGTGAATTGGCAGAAGTTAGAATTCATGGGCCATTGGATCGGGTCCCAGTGGCTTAATGGTCTACGAGCTCGCCTTGTAACCAGGAGGTCCTGAGTTCGAACCCTGGTGGTGGGTTCGTACTGATGAAGAGTCCCAAACTAGGACGAAACAGCCGTCCAGTACTCCCACTTGCTGGTTTTCCAATGGTTCTCTAACTAATGTCAGCTCATGATGAAAATCCTGTCTGAATGTATGTTTTTAAAAAGGAAAAGACGTTTATCATCAGCTTTGACCGTTTTACCTTGCAATCTTCCTGATTTCTCTTCCGTCAAACATTCGCCAACAGGGAATTTTATTATATATATATATAATAATTGTACGCATATGGCTATTGGATACATATAGCAGTATTAGTATCTCATTCATGTGATACACAGGAGTCTCGCAAGCCCAGTATCACACTAATTTTAAGCATTTTGATATGGTCGTATAAAGATAAATGTCAATAAGGTACCAAGCGAATGACAGGAACAAATACCTGTGCATTCAGAATAGCCATAATCAAAGAAGGATAACACGAAGAATCACAAAATTAAGATAAAAGCTTTGTCGAACAAACGACTGTTGTTGAAGTGACTTATGTCTGTATACTGTGGTAAGCTGAATGCAAGAGAATAAAAGCCACTTATTCACGAAAGTGGTAGGAAGTAGCTGAGTAACAATAACCAATAAATAGCATAAGAAGCATGTTTACAGAAGTTAGTGCTGAAGATGTCATCCAGTTTGGTGACGAAATGCAAAAGCTCGAAAAACACCAGACGATATCCATCACGCTTTTTCTTAAGATCTTTAATTCTTCTTCTACATGTGTCTACTCCAAATCGCCTGAAGGGTTTGCAGTAGAAGTATACAGGAGATTGTTATTTTGTTCAAATGAACACCTTGATTGACGTTCCGACGGCCTAACCTATTCTAGTGAAGATAACACTTACGATCACTTTCATTTCAGGATATATGAAGATGCGGTGAGTTTGTTACAAGCATTTATGACAGGTGCCATCTTAAATAGTGTTATGCATAGTATTTAGAATGATGCCTAGTGTCACTGCTAGTATTCATATATGTGGAACAGCTTAGATAATTTGCATGAGCCTTCGCAGTGCTTATATATTTTGTTAAAAGTAGTATCTGGCAGACGAAGCTGTGTTCATTTTATTCAAGTTGTTTCTCATTATTACTGTGCAGTACAATTAAATATGTCAATAAACATTTTCAAACAAAAGATTATCAGTAGAATGAAGGACTGACTACTCATCAGCTCAATGAAGCTGCATTGTCGACCAAAGTGACATTGGTCCACCGAAACACTGAAGGCAATTAAGTAAATGAATTCCAGTCTGACTGCAAGTGAAAGAATGAATAAATATTAGGTCAGTGTAGAATCAATTAGCGGTGGAAGAAGCCTATAAAGAATTAAACTAATATGTGAACAAGAATGGATGACTAATATAACCAACACTGATGAAAATATCTGAGCTAGACTAGCATGATGAGATGATAAGATGAGAATATCAGTAAGAAGTGGAATCCACATTAATCACTGTGCAAATGTCGTTTATGTGCAAATTAACACACAAAGATCTCTTACTGAACACCACAGACTACTGGCGGACGTCTTTCAACCTACTAGCCCACTTCAAATTCGCTGACCATCACACTTTTATGAAATACTGGGTTACGATTTCAGTAGTTACCAAAGTGAAGTTTTTCAATATGCGCATAATTCTACAAATGCAAATTGATATTTATCATTCAGGTACAACAACTGCCGTAGACTAACAAATGCCTAGACTAATTTTATCGACTTTCTGTAGTGACACATTCAAGGCATCATTTTCTTCTCTTTTCAGTAATGCAATATCAACTGATTACAAAGACTGGCAACCTTTGGAACGCAGGCGTCAATGGAGTTAATGTCAACATTCTACTACAAGGTGATCGTGGCGACACAGGACAACGGACCCTGTGGAATGAAGAAGTAGACAGAAAGAAGGCATTCTTAAGAGGAAAAGTATGTGAAGCAGTTCGACAAAAAATGGCTACAATAACTAGAAGAAAGCCAGAAATAATATTTGTTTGATGTAGGGTTTATTTCTAACTACACTGTTATATTGATTAGTGACTTTATCCACTTAAACTAATGAATAATGTAGGATTTATGTTCTGACTATGCTCAGTGTACTGGTTACGACATGACAGTTGCTTCTTGTTCACCTAAGTGTGTGTTCAGGACCTTGATGGGGATTGGCACAGTAAAAAACAATTTGGTTACAAGGCGAGCTCGTGGACCAGAAGCTCCTGGTTTCGAACCCCGGTGGGTGAGTACTGATGAAGAGTCCCGAACTAGGACGAAACAGCTGTCCAGTACTCCTAGGTTTTCCAGTGGTTCTCTAACTAATGTCAGCTGATGATGAAACCATCCATCAAATCAAACCAAATCCCTACAAAACAAATACTTGAAAATAAAACATTTTCTTTGCAGTTGCAGATCAACAGAAGCATTACTGATGTTATAGCTCCAACGCGCTCACCTTACTGACAAACTTATTTAATGACAAATCAGATTGTATGCCTAAAAACAACAGTATAAGCTTATCTTAAAGACATGCACACCAGAGTCAACTATTGTCTTGACTTTTAAAAGAGTCCGTTAGTCCGGTAAAACTTCCAACCATACATTAGTCTAAACACAGATTGGTGTATTCAGTTTTGTATTTACATTGTGTTCCTTGGGCAGTTCAAATTGAAAAATATACAGAAATTGCCTTACATTTCGCATTATATGTGCACGCGACACAAAGTAATAAACCTCTTCCTGTCTTCAGAGCCAATTTTATTCTAAGTTAACATGGAAATAATTAATGGAGAGTTCCAATCTCTTCCGACTTGAGGAATGAAAACTGAGCAGAAGTTCTGTTAGCAGTCGGAACATTGTCACTCAGCCAATAAGCTGATGTCGGGTGCTCAGAACATAACATAAGTGTTTGTGAATAGAAAGTTGGGACTTAGTTTAGCAGGTAGGTGGAATAACTGAGGTATGTGAAAGGTGTTTTGATGTTTCTCAAATTACTTGAAATTTTCAAGTATTATTTGTAAGAGCTGATATCTTAATGTGGGATGACAAATTCATATCCAGTAAAGACCATGTTTACAGTCATATGCAACGTTTTTTTATCTTCCATATTCATGTGGCTCAGTGTAGAGTAAAGTATTTCAAATAATTTGACACTGTCAGTCAGAGGATATTTTGGGTGTTCCAGTGAAGTTAGACACTTCATGATGTCATTTCGATGTTTCGTAATGCCAAATGGTGATGTTAGCTTTTGATGAAGATTAGATTCAAAGGTAAATCACTTTATAATAATGACGAGGTCTAAATATTTATCCAATCTTACACTCATACGGAGGTCCATTTAACTGGCATTTTCGTGACTACTTTCATAAATGTCGCTTATCTCACTTCTCCTTTTTCTCCTCCTTCTTTAGACAAGCATATTTAATATAGAAGCTGTATTCCTTGGAAGACTGAAGGCACTCACCATATGGTTAGAACCAATTGATACTGGAGATGATAGTAACAGTGGGACTGCTGATAGCAGCTGGTATCTGGAATATGTAGTTATTCACCAACTCTCACCAACTTTCGATCCAATCAGGAGTCAAACAAGTGTTCCAAATAACTCCCTTCTGCCTTCTTCTCCGCCTACACCTCCACCACCACCACCAGTCGTCTCCATCAGCTACATCTAATGAGAGTTTCTTAGTGAAAACCACACTCTCGAACTGTAAGGATATTTGTGGAACCTATCTTTTCCCTTGTTTCCAATGGTTAACAACAGGTGTCGGAATGAATTCCCTACCGATTAAATTGATTCCCGCCAGTGGAAGTGGAGCTCTTACACCAGATTTGATCGAATCAATTATGTCCCATGAAAAGGAACAAATTTATGTAAGAAAATATAATATGCACATAATTAAACTGATAAGATTTATAACTGCGGAATCTCTTAACATGGATTGATGAGTGTTCTGTCGACAAAGTCTTTAACAGATTTAGAGTCTTATTATCACCAGGGCTGCATCGTGTTTTGG